CCGTACGACGGCGGCACTAATATTACACTCATTGGACATAATCTGCACATCGGTTCCAACAGAACTATACTTCTATCAGGAGTTCACTGCAAAGAAGTAATTATTATTTATATCTAATATTATAAATTTCATATATGATTATTTTTGTCATACATTTTCTTAGTTTGAAAACAATAGCAAATTCTTGAAATGTACGTCCGGTCGACTGCCCTCAGCAGCAACACTGTCCTTACCTTTGGACACAAGTGTTACACTTTTTATAGACAACTCAGTTCTTGTTATCAATTCAAACAAAACCATACATAAACCCAAGACATCGATTGAGAAAAACGAATTCATGTCAGCAATGGTTTGGAGCGAATTCTTTGAATATAGACCTAATCCGCGGATTAATTCATTTGAACCGAATTCAACCATCAAAAGTGGTGACACAAACATCACTGTCAGTGGTGTTAATCTGAATTCAGTGGCCAACCCTCGTATAAAAGTGAACGCATTTTTTGGCTTTGATAAACAAAAACGCGTAGAAATGGAGGGCCAGTGTTGGGTCAATCCATTGGGCACTCAAATGACTTGTCAAACCCCGGACCTCAACACAACTACTCCCCGATTAGATATCACTGTATCGAAGGAAACCAAATTAAATTTCATTATGGATGGCGTCGACAATACAGGACTTAATGGTCGTCTCTCGCGTCTCATCTATTATCCGGACCCGACTTTTCATAGTTTCAAAGATGGTCTGCAAGTGGTTTGGTATGAAGAACCGGACCTTACAATTGGTGGCAAAGATTTGCACATTAGTTATCCCATTAAAATACTGATCAGCTCTCATCAAATACCATGTAATATCACTCCTAGTAATACAATTAACGCCATTAGTTGTCGGANACTCCTAGTAATACAATTAACGCCATTAGTTGTCGGATACACGATATAAATAAGAAAATATGGGCAGTCGATGGCAGGAAACATCCAGTTTTTGTCAAAGTCGGCAAAATTAGTTTTAGGTATTTGTTTGAAAATTATTTTATTATTTATTCATTGCAACAAAAACTAAAATTTGTAATTTTAAAGTCCTGGTAGTATGACATTTGACTATAAACCGGGTATATTGAGTGTGGGCTCAATACTGGGCATCACGTTTGTGACCATTGTGTTGATAGTACTGACTGTGGGTCTCATCTATTATTACGCCCAGAAAAATGGTATATCATTTCTTAAGCAACCGATTCCTTCACAATTTCAAGTCAATTACAACCGGTCCGCATCGGAAGGCGGATCAGATAGACCTCCATATGTCTCTCAAATGTCTTCCATTGGCACATCTAATGGTATGTCAAACAGACTTTATTTGCAATATATTTTGATGGAAACAACAATAAAATTCAATAAAACTTTGGATTTTGATCTCACAAATTGCAACACAAATATAAAGAGTTTTTATTTTCATAATTCCTTTGCTCTTGAATTTAATTTGATATAAAAGTAATTAATTAAAGTATTAATTGCTTTGTGTTTAAAATTAATTCAATGATGCTTTCATGTTAATAGAAACTGATATCATATTAGTGATATGATTGCATTAATTAATGTGTCCTTCAAATGAGAATCAAACTGTTTATTGAATTTTGTTTTAAAATTTTTCACAATTGGTGGCGGTTTTGGGTTTTTGCTTTGGGTTTGGGTTTTTGCTTGGTTTTTGGTTTGGGTTAATCGCCACTTATATTTAAAATAAATTGCAATTGATATTGAATTGAATGGCTTTTGCATCCATTAATTGCATCCAAACATATATACGTGTATACAGTATATGGAAGAGGAGAATGTTCTCGTTTATTATCAGACGACTCTATGACCCGACGGACCGTATATCAGGTGTCGGAAGAGACTATGAATCTGTTGCGCGCAGAAAACATACTCATCGAGTGGGAGAACTTGATATTAGGTGAAGTGATTGGC